GGTGGTGTAAGAAGAAGAAGAGACTGATAAGGCGACGGTGGGCTGCAATGATGGTGATGATCGACAGCTTGGAGTTTGGGAGAAGTGAGGGAGTTCAATTAAACGCCCCTGGTTTTCTTCCCCCAAGGCCACATGCATCTGCATCAGAAGCGAGGGACTTCAATTCAACGCCATCTCCTATCCCGATTCTCCTATCAAGCCGATTTATCTCTCTAAACTTAGGGTTTTTTTAGCTTGATTTGTCGCAGGTAAGGAAGCCCTGCAAGGGGAGGCGGTGCAGCGAATGATTTATGAGATGGACGGGAGTTGCGGGTCGTGCTTCGGCAATCGAGCGGAGTCGAGAGTTTCACCAGGTATTGCGACTTGCGTCATTCACAAGAGTGCCTCTCATTTTACTTTACGGTGGAGTTTGCATAGGTTTAGGAGTTCCTCATTGTAACTTCTCTAAACTTTTGTGATAAGTTGTGAATGCATAGCGAATAGGGTTGGGATTAGTCTTGGTTAGAATTTGTGGGGTTAGGGTTGCTGTCCAAGCTAAAGGATTGCAGGTTTAGAGAGTAAAGTGTTATAGGTGATGAACATGGCGACTATAACAAGGGAAGATTAATATGTTGTAAAATTTTAGTGTTCACGACCGCAAGCATTATCTGGAAAGCATTTTTTAGGCTTATCTAGAACTATATGAATGGTCTCTCTTATTTTGGCGTGGTAGATGCTAAGGCGATGAGCTGGAGCAGCATTGACAGTTCTCTGATTGAATGAATGGTGCTTTTGCTAAGGGGGGAAATCTGCTGTCGAAATGTCATTTACGCATAATTGAACTATTGTAGTGATGTCTTCATAGGCTTAATGTGTAGAAAATTGATTTCTCAGCAGAAAGAAACATACAAAATTAATCATAAATCATTTCTAGTTTAATAACATTGTAATGAACTTAAAGAAGATCTCTTCCTACATGTATGGTGGTGGGTGGAGGTCTTTCTGTTTGTACTATTAGCATTACTTCTTTGGCTTCTCGTAGTGATGTTTTATTTCTACAGATTATGTTAATTGGGAGTTAAATCAACATCAACATCATTCTTCAGCCTCTTTGAACTTAATTTCACTAGGGTCCAGGTTGTCTATCTGTGTATGGTACGATGATCTTCATCAGCCTATTTTGCGTGGTCTTAACTCTGCATTTTATCTATCCATTCAGCTTCCATAGGTTCTTGTTGTTCTCTACACATAATATTTGGTTCTTGAGTTATCCGTCGTACCTTACTATTGCATTGAACATCTAATCTCTTGTGAGTATGCTTCCGAAAATGGTGATCCTGGTGCTTTCAACTAATGAGGAACCTCTAGGAAATTGGTATGGGCATAACCGTGATCTATTGTGTTTCGGTATGAGCAACTAATATAGCTGCTAAGACTAGCAATCTAAAAAGTTTTGAGTTTCATAGTACACAAATCAATGTTATGGCTGCATTGAAGTCCTCATATATTTATCTCACATCTACTTGGTTTTTAACAAACAGTATCAGCAAATGAGGCGGAAAGAGCAAGATCGGGTTGCTAGGATGGAGGTCGACTACACGAGAAGGAAAGAAGAAGCAGAATTCAAACGACGGGGACTTGCGGTTAGTATCAGCGGCGGCAACAGATAATCGAAGGCCGCCAGCAGTTTTGCCGCGTACCCTAGCCACGTCCGCGGGATCAAATGCAATCTTTGAGTATATAGGGCCAGTGCCGGTTCGGGTGACTTTCACCAGGTATATTTCTTCATTCACAAGAGTGCCTCTCGTTTTACTTTACGGTGGAGTTTGCATAGGTTTAGGAGTTCCTCATTGTAACTTCTCTGAACTTTTGTGATAAGTTGTGAATGCGTAACGAATAGGGTTGAGCTTAGTCGTGGTTAGAATTTGTGTGGGTAGGGTTGCTGTTCAAGCTAAAGGATTGCAGGTTCAGAGAGTAAAGTGTTATAGGTGATGAACATGGCGACTATAACAAGGGCAGATTAAGCTGTTGTAGAATTTTAGTGTTCACGACCCCAGCATTATCCATAAAGCATTGTTAGGCTTATCAGGAACTATATGAATGGTCTCTCTTATTTTGGCATGGTAGATGCTAAGGCGATGAGCTGGAGCAGCATTGACAGTTCTCTGATGGAATGAATGGTGCTTTTGCTAATGGGGGAAATCTGCTGTCAAAATGTCATTTACGCATAATTGAACTATTGTAGTGATGTCTTCATAGGCTTAATGTGTTCAAAATTGACTTCTCAGCAGAAAGAAACATACAAAATTAATCAAAAATAATTTCTAGTCTATATTAAATCATTTTTGGAGGATAGTGACCAGATATGAACATAGAGATATAATTCTGCAAATGGTTGATGGTTTAAATTTTAGGCAATTACTCTTTTGTTATGTAGATGCATGAATAGATGTTTGGTTGATTTACATACCAATACCGAAAAATGGTATACTACATGTACACTGTGTAAAAGGTAACATAACCAGTCATTATACAGGAAAGGATTGATGATAATTCACAGGTTTCGGTGGATGCATGTGTTAAGAACTGTTAATCATCACTTATGGGTCTGAATGGTTGGTTAATTGACATGTTGCTAGGCCGTGTGCTCTTGCTCTAACTACCCTGACTCTAAAACTCCTTTTCGTATGGTGGTTGATAACTTATTTTATGCATAGGTGAGAGGGTGGATATATATAGGTAGATGCCTAGATGGGAGCATATTAAACTGTTGAAAGTGTTATAGCTCTATACTTATGGTGATTGATGACTTGTTTGATGCATAGTGTAGACTAGAGAGGGTGGATGTATATAGGTAGATGCCTAGTTGGGAACATATTAAATGGCATCAATGCAGACTGAAGTAGCTATCCGTATTTTGGTCAAATTGACGGGACTGTGCATCTAGGCATGGTTTTGGGTCTTGGCGATTTGTTCTGATTCGACCTGAAGCTGTTTTTTTAGTCTTACGAGTCGTATTTGAGAAGTAAAGAGACTTGGTCTCAGAAAGCTTGTGCTTCCATTCGACCTTAAATCCCTGTTAAACCTTCTTTCCTCAAATATGGTCTGTCTTCAGTGTTGATCCATAAATAAACTGAAGCAACACATGTACTTTGTGTTTCATACAACTTGTTGTTTGCGTTGCTTCTGATTGGGGATTTTTTCTTTTCCTTACTATAGCTCCCTGCACTTTTCACGCCAGGAAAGAATGATTAAAGTATTTCAGTTTTATATATCACAATTGTGAAGATTTGAGACTTAATAAAATAACTGGGCGGCTAAACATCGTCCTAGTTTTACTATTATCGCCCTAACTTAAAACATAAAATTACTAAATTGTCCTTCATCCCCCAGCTCCCACCACGCCCCACCTCTTGCTTACACAGACACAGTGCTACTGCTATTCTCTCAAACAAGGTCCAACAAGAGTTACCAGACCCACTCCGTTGCCGCGATAGAGTTTTCCCCTGTTTGTTGCTCACTTGGCTGGTTTGGCTTCTTTCCATTTATTAATCAGCAGAACGCTGTAAGTAGGCCTTGATTTCCCCCTACTTCTTTCTTCGCTAGATGTGGGTTTATCAGCGGTACTAAAAAATCTCCAACAATTCTGAAATTACTCTATTATATGAAATTTGGATCGGAGATGTGTTTTGATATTCAGCGTAGTGTTCTCCAATGATCAATTTCATGATGGGTTTGTTTGTTTTCTGCTTTGGATTATAGTAGGGACGCTGCGAGATTTACATAGAGAAAAATGAGAGGCGATGGGTGGAGACTTCACTGAAGAGCAAGTTCTTCTGTTCGGATCTCATTCGATTGACATGGTGGCGGCCGGCAGGGTAAGGGTCGGCGATGGTGGAAAATTGGAAATCAAAACCAACATTAGTATAAAACTGTTTGGCTGGATTTTATTTGTTAGAATAAAATATTTTTAACGATAAAAAATGAGAAGGATAAAAGGGTAATAATAATTGATAAGTTAGGGCGATTTATTAAAATTAGGGCGACAATTAGCAACTCCCTAAAATAAGGGATTTTGATTCCCACCCACGAGTTTTGATAAGAAGTATTTACCTTCTAGGAAGCTTATTAGTTTATTTAACTTTAATTCCAATAAATACAAATCACAACAAAAAGATTTTGTAACAGTCCCCTTCCTTCATCAGAACTCTAAACACGTTTTTTCCTATATAAGCTACTCATCCGAGTGGAATAATCTTCGTATTTTCGGGAAGAAAACAAACGAAGGAAGATCGGTGTCATGGAAGGGTTATTTTGAGTTGTTTTCCGATGCCTTTGTTCCTGAGTCTTATGGCCCCTGCTGAAGCTTCGTTTTGTTAATGTTGTTTTCAGGTTAGACAAATCAGTGGCCGAATCAAATGAGGTAAAGTTTCGAAATTCGTACAGTGTCCAGCATTCCTTTATTTTGTTATTTTTATATGGGGTATCTAAATGCCTGGGTTTTTGTTTTGCAGATTAGGAGCTTGCATTCGTTTATGACTGCCTTGGAAAAAGGTCAGCTATCTATGAAAAGGGAGTTGAAGGATGATATTAAGGACTTGAGGACAATAGTGCAGTCGTTTAGGGACCTGTTGATTGGGAGGTTTGGTGGGAACTCTGAAAATGGCAGAAAAGAGAAGAATGATGATAAACTCGAAGTTGTTAACTTAAGCTCGGATAGCTCGTTTTCCTTGCCAACAAGGAGTAAACATGAGATGAAAAGCACAGTCAGCAGAAGAAAGGTACCCGTAGTCACACTTTTGTTTTTTGTGTTTATGTGATATCAGTATTTTAATACATATGTTAAATGATAGGGGAAAGCGGTTAGAAAGTCTCCAATTAGGTTGCGGAGTCCTATTTGGACCCGGAAAGATCGCGAGAGGACTAATGCCAAAATAAAGATGATCGGCCCTTCATCACTACAAAGTCCCTATAAAAAAGGGATCAGTGGTTGATCAGCCACGTTTTTTATCCATTCAAGGATGAAAGGTATTAAAAAAACTGTGTTACATTGTTATTAATTGAGCATAATTCATTTTTTGCAAGTTAAAGGCACTCATCCAAGATTTGTATTGTCTGTTGTTGGTTGTAGTGAGGCATCCATGGTTTCGTCTAACCCGTGGAGAGTTTAAGGTATTAGTGCCGGAAATACCATTGTCTACCCAGGTTTGTTAACTTATCTTGATTCTTGAATCTATAAATGACTTAGTAAAGGAGCAAAGTTCTGTAAAGTGATATGTGTTTTGATTTGTTTATTTGTGTAGGTTATCACTATGTGTGTTGACTTGTTAACGGTGCCGGAGTTGGAAAATGAAAAACTTGTGAATTGGTTCTTACCACCTGCATTTGCTGTAAGTTCATAAGCTGTATTTGGTATTATTTTGCTATCTTTAAAAGTAGTAATTGGACATATTTCAAACTGTAATGTGTGCTAAAAGTAATGTTTGGTTATAAGAGTCTTCATTATGAATGATTGTATAGGGTTGTTAAAATCTGTCGTGGATACAAAATTTTCCAGCATGTACTTTATATACAATAAAGTAGAAAAGCTCGGCTAGTCACTGAAATTTGTTGTCTGTCATTAAAAAAACTTGAACTTTAGGCCATAGTTTTTGTGCTGTAATTTTTCCGTGTCAATTCCTTGTCATGAGTGGAACCTGAAACTCGTATCAGATCTGTTGTCATTCTTGTGATGAATTATGGATTGAAAAGTTCTAGCTCCACCCAATCCTAGATGTGTTGCCCATTTTTCTTGAAATTCCAGAAACCAAATTTTTGGGTTTCCTTTTAAACGTTGTATGGCTGCTTCCGTGCAATAAACTCCTCATACCACACTAGTGTATTTTCAGCACTTATGTTCGAGAGATGACATTGACATGATGAACCTGACTAGTTATCATGTAAAAATTGAAACCTTATCTAGGTATCCATAAAATGTGAATCGATTGTGTAACTATTACGATTTAATATGACTATACTTGTAGGTAGCATGTGCAACCGGAGATCGCGTTTTTGCTTACCCTAAGAAAAGAATTAAAATAGTGTACTGCTCCAGGGACTTCAATGATGGTGAGAAGGTAACTGTTCCAAATGCTAGAACCTCTTAGAATTTCGTGATGGATAGAATTTTTTGTTGAGGTTTAAGCAATGTGTGTACATGTCAGATTTTTGTCCCCGTGCTGTTGGGTAGCCACTTCTTTCTTTCTTTATGTTTTTGACCTTAAGAAAGAGGCGATTGAAATATGGGAATCACTTCCAAATTGTGTCGATCCAATTCAGAGGGGAGAAAAAGTGTCACTGATTGTAAGTCATCTTGGGCATCTAAAAGGCTATGTTATGTATTCAATTTGTATATATTTGTTGACATATTATGTACTTGATGTAGGCGAAGGAACTGGACTCGATCTTTTTTGAAGCAGTCATGAGGAGATTCGAGGCCAAGATGTTTTGCACTTTCACCATCGTAGAGGTGGTCAATGCTCCGCGGCAAGAGAATGGGTACGTTTATATGTCTGGTTTCTCATTAGTTGGTTGGTTTGAAATACGCTATTTGATTTAATTTTCGGTTTAAATGTTTTTGGGCAGGTTCGACTGTAGGTTGTTTGTGTTGAAGTTGATGACATGTGGCGGCCATTTGGATGAGTGTGCCCGGGGACTGAAGAAGAAGGTGGTTTATTCCATTTTTGATGGCTTCTTCATTTACGTTTTTAAGTTTTTTAGGTTGTTATTATTGTTATTGAAGTGTTTTTCGTCATTTTTGATGGCTTCTTCATTTACGTTTTTAAGTTTGACAGTGAAGAAGAGAGGCTAGGTCTAGCTATGTACTTGTTGAACAATATGGAGAATACGGAGCGTGATGCTCTCCATCAGAAGGTACTTATGGAAGGTGTAACATCCCATTTTGGCTAAATCCATATTTCGATCGCTAGAAAGTTCGCGATTTAAAATCGAGCATTTTAACAGTATTTCGACGAAATTCGGATTATCGATCGATCGGATAGGTATACGTATTAATTATATATATATATATATATATATATATATATGTGGCAAAGGCTAGCGTACGCATGGACGTACCCTAGCTTACCGTACGCCCGTTGAGTTTTGCTATTAAGACAATGAATTAACCGGAGTTCGGGGCATGATATTATACGCTAACCCCTAATGGGTAAACCCTAGTCCGCAATTCACTAACCCAAAGCATAATATTCATTTAATCTTGAAATGAAAATCAACGGTTCTGATTTGTCGAAATTATTGTTGATTTTCATTTCAAGATTAAACGAATCTCATGATTTGGGTTAGAAAACTAGGGACTGGGGTTTATCCATTAGTGGTTAGGGTATAGTATCATGCCCAAAACTCCGGTTAGTTCATGATCTAAATGGCAAAACTCAAATGGGCGTACGGTAGTCTAACGTACGCCCAGGCGTACGCTAGCGTAAATCACGGTCGGATATATAATCCCGTCCCAACCCCTCCATGTCAATTATTTTCATTCTCTGCACAGAGAGAAACCGAGAAGCAGAGGCCGCGTAGGGGACGGAACTGAAAAATTCTCCAAGCTCAAATCTTGAGCTTTAGTGATCCAAAAATCCCGCAAGTAATGCCTAATTCATCCATACATCGTGATTTATCGATTTAGAGCTTTAAAACGAGTTTTTGGTTCAGGAATATCTTGAATTCCCGATAAGCCAAATTAGGGTTTCGGAGTATCCGGAAGCCGGATTGAGCCCAAATTTCATATACGAGCTTCCTGCAACGAGGTAATCAATCCTCTAGTTCTAATCCCTGAATTTCGGCAATTATTTAGGCCGGGATCCAAACCGCTGAATTTAGCTGCGGCCAGGGTTTGATGTGTTTTTATCGACAATTTGACCAGGAGCCTAGAACTAATATTGACGGGGATACTGCAGGGGATATTAGGACGGTCTCGTATTTTAATTCGGGGTTCGTTCGTGAAATTGACGTTTTAGTACGGGAGGCTAGAACCGGTGTTTGAACGACCAAAACTGGTGAGGGATTAGCACGGCATACCGGGTTTGTCGTATCACGATAATTATATTGATGCTTAGAATTGATCTAGGTGAACTAGAATGGCATGATTAGGGGTGTATGAGCTTTTGTGCTATATGATGAACCTTGGACTGTTGTTTGATATTATTGACTTGCCCTAATCGATATGAACCTTGTTTATGTGGATGATTGCATACATGTTGCCTTTTGTGGCTTAATTGTTGATATGACTTCATGGTTGTTCGATAAGGGGTTTTGACATGGTGTGATATTATGATTGTATTTGGATCCATAAGTGGGGGAATAAACTTCCCAGGGTGATATTATGATGTTTAAGGAGGATGACTTGCACGAGGGTTTATCCCGAGGAAGTGCAATTATACGACTCCTGATTTACCTATGTTGAGCCAATTATGGCCAGGTCAAGTACATGTGCAAGTAATTAATTATGATTAAGCAAGATGAGATATGAATCATGTATAAGGATACCAAATATGAGTGTTGTGGTCTCACGGTCAACTACATAGTAATTAGGGCTCCCTATGCTATTACTCTATTATGATATGTATGATAGTCACACCTCTCACGTGGTGGTGACTGAAGAATTCTTATGAGATATGACCACACCCAGAGCGGTGTCGGGGTATGACTACACCCATAGTGGTGTGGGGTATGTATGACCACATCCGACGGGATGTTGGGGTATGTATGGCTACATCCGACGGGATGTGGGGTATGTTTCCCGGGAGAGTTATTAGCATGGGAGTAGCCAGGCGCCTATGAGTAAAACATGATAAGATGCATATGCATAAGTCAAGGTGGTTGAGTCTTTTTCCTATTGGGATGTCGGAGGGCTGAGATCCGATCCTAGTGTTTTGGCTTGATTGTTAGATGTATGATAGGGGTATGCTCTGTTATGAACTCACGATGCTATGATTATCTCACTCAGCTATGAGCTTACCCTCTTTTATTCTTCTTCTCTGCTTATGCTATACGAAGCAGATCATCTTCAGCAGCACTAGATAGGTGTATAGGTGGGAGTTGAGCAAGAGTTGAAGGCAAGATGAGGTATGGTCTTCAACTATTCTGTGTTGGACTACTACTCGGGATTTTGGCCAGTGATCCACACCTTTTTGTAAAAATATTTTGAGAACGTTTTTCATGTGCATACTAGCCTCTGATGTAGTGTGAGATATCCACAGGTGTGGAAAGTTGATGATATGTGTATATGTTGTGTAACTGTGTAAGTTGTGACGATTATGGTATGTATAAGTTTGGTATGCAGTTGTGTAGTATGAAAAGTGTGACTATGGCTAAGAAAAGCCAATGCATATGGTTGTTAGTATATATGTTTATGATGAATTATTTTGCAGGATAGGTTGCAAGAACTGTTAGCCCATTACGCGAGTAATTCATGTCGAAATTTTATTTAGGTAAATTTTGATAATTAATGTAACACCCGAGATTAATTCCGCTGCAATTGTATGAACAATATGATTAGGAAAAACGTATAGGGTAGGGTGTTACAGTTTGGTATCAGAGCCCGGTTCCCTCTTTTTGCTGTTATGGCGTACTATACCCTATGGGAGTTTAAACAGTCCTAAGGAGGGGAGTACCCCATAATGACTTAAACTGGTAATTGAGTTTGACATGATTATGTGTATTGGTATATTGGATGAAATTACCTGCATCATGGTTTTCAAAATTGAGTTTTGAACTTATTTGTTTTCAAGTAATTATTTTGGAAATTTTTTTGTTTTAACCAAGTGAGAGATTTGGTGAAGAATGAATTTTGGGTGGATCAATCTAAGGCCAATATTTCCTTGTAGCTCGCACGGAAGTTGTGAAAATGTTCCTACTGACCAGTCGAGAGGAGTGGGGGCGGTTGATGCAAGGCCGCCAGTATTAGATTATGCAAAGATGAAGAGTTTGGGTGGTAGGGACTTCAAGGGAGATGTGAGCCCAGATGCTGTAGTAGAGTGGTTGAGAGAGATGGAAGATGTGTTTGAATATCTTTATGCGACCCTAGAGGAAAAAGTACAATATGTTGTTTTTCTCCTAAAGGGGTACGCGAGGAGCTGGTGGTCCTCAGTCTCTAGAGTTAATGGTGAACGAGTTCAGTTCACCTGGGAGGAGTTCCTGAAGGCCTTTAAGACAGAGTTTCTTCCCGAAGCTTTTATCAGGGCAAAGAACAATGAATTCGCCAACCTTAAGCAGGAGAATATGACAGTTATTGAGTACACCATCAAGTTTGTTCGACTACTTTACTTTGAAGATGGGTTGGCGGATACTGAGCATAAGAAGAAGATGAGATACTTGCATGGTCTGCGCATAGGATTGAAAGAAAAGATCCACAGGGTTGATGAAGAGAGTATGGCCACAATCAAGGAGGCAGCACTTAAGTATGAAGCCTATGAAGTTGAGAGCCGAGAGGAACACAAAACCAAAGAAGAGGAGAAGAAGAGGAAGTTTGGAGTAAATTATGCTGGACCTCGTTACCCACCCAGGAGAGGTCCTAGCAGTTTTGGGAGAACACCGAGTCAATCTATGTCAGGAACATCATACAAGGCACCAATTTCCTCAGCCACACAATTTCCATTTTGTCAAGTTTGTCAGAAGAGGCATCTTGGAGAGTGTAGGAGATTTTCTGGTGTATGCTTTCACTGTGGCCAACCTGGGCACATCATGAGGGACTGTCCGCATCCGAGAGAAGTAAGAGCTACACAGTCCGAGCCTTCAGTGCAATTTAGTAGAGCCCCATTCAGGGGTGGTTACCAGGGAGGCCGTAGTGGATTTCAGAGTGGTCGTGGTGGTTCACAGGGTGGTAGAGGTGGTGGTCGAAATCAACCATCAGGAAGTGGTACGCAGGGTACCAGAGCACAGGGAGCACCGAGGGTTTATGCAATGACTCGAGGTGACGTAGAAGTGGCACCAGAAGTTGTGACTGGTATGCTCTCTATCCTTGGCAAGCAATTATATGCTTTGATCGATACTGGTTCCTCTCACTCATTCATGTCATATACGTTTGCACATATGCTACGCTTAGTTCCAGATAAGCTAGGTTATACCTTATGTGTTAAAACACCTGTGGGAGATACCTTGAAGGTAGACTCAGTTATTAGAAGTTCCTTCATTTGTGTGGAAGGAGCTTTCCTAGCAGCAGATTTAATTCTGCTACCTTTTGATGAATTTGATGTCATCCTTGGAATGGACTTTCTGGCAACACATGGAGCTGTTGTGGATTGTCAAAAGAAAGAAGTGTTATTTAACACACCAGATAAAGGTCCTGTTGTATTTCGAGGCATTAAGAAAAAGGAGACTCATGGTTTTCTTTCTGCCTTGGAAGCTTTTCGATTAGTGAAGGAAGGTTGTGAAGCCTTTCTTGCTCAAGTTACTGTAGTAAATAATAAGAAGGTTGAGGATGTAGAGGTGGTAAGGGAGTTTCCTGATGTATTCCCCGAAGAACTTCCCGGCCTTCCACCAGAAAGGGAAGTAGAGTTTGATATTGAATTGGTACCTGGCACAACACCAATTTCAATGGCACCATATAGAATGGCACCAATTGAGCTGAAGGAGCTTAAAGAACAATTGCAAGAATTGTTAGACAAGGGGTTTATTCAACCTAGCATCTCACCTTGGGGTGCACCGGTTTTGTTTGTCAAGAAGAAAGATGGCTCCATGAGAATGTGCATTGACTACCGGAGGTTGAATAAAGCAACAGTGAAGAATCGTTATCCCCTTCCAAGAATAGATGATTTGTTTGATCAATTGCAGGGTGCATCAGTCTTTTCTAAGATTGATTTGAGGTCTGGATACCATCAATTGAAAGTGGCAGATGGAGCAACTTCAAAGACAGCTTTTAGAACAAGATATGGGCATTATGAGTTCCTGGT